GGCAGAGAGCTCCAGTCCGACTCAGACGCCAGCAAGGTGGAGGTGGAGTAGTGGTTTGGGCTGGTATCTTCAAAGATGAGCTTGTGGGGCCTTTTCGGGTTGAGGATGGAGTCAAGCTCAACTCCCAGTCCTACTGCCAGTTCCTGGAAGACACCTTCTTCAAGCAGTGGTACAGGAAGAAGTCTGCCTCCTTCAAGAAAAACATGATTTTCATGCAGGACAATGCTCCATCACACGCGTCCAAGTACTCCACAGCGTGGCTGGCAAGAAAGGGTATAAAAGAAAAAAATCTAATGGCATGGCCTCCTTGTTCACCTGATCTGAACCCCATTGAGAACCTGTGGTCCATCATCAAATGTGAGATTTACCAGGAGGGAAAACAGTACACCTGTCGATACACTAACAACCACACTACAACACTACTTTGAGGAAAATACATCCCGTCCATATCCCCGACAATAACCTGGGAAGCTCATAAATCAGTAATGAGAGGACACATCATAGCTATAGCCTCCAAACTCAAGAAAAAGAAAGATGCCCAAATCACTGATCTCCTGCGAGATATCCGCCTAATTGAACAGACACACAAAAACAACCTCTCCCTAGACCTCTATAAACAACTAGTTGACAAACGCACAACCCTACAAACCCTGTTAAACTCCAAAATCAAACGATTACTCACTCACACCAAATATTCATTTTACACTCAAGAAGGAAAATGCGGGCGAATGCTAGCCAAAGCCCTTCAGCAAAACACGCAACGCACATACATAACCACGATCAAAAGCAAAGATGGGACACGCACTCACCTACTCCCAGCCATACTTAAAGAATTCCACGCCTTCTACACAAACCTGTATAACCTCAGACAGACGCCACCACGACCAGAGGAAATTACCCATTTCCTCTCTAACAGAATCACGCAAACGATCCCCACAAACGTAAGACAATCCATTGAAGGACCCCTAACAGACGAAGAATTTAGATTGGTAGTTAAAAACCTCCCTATAGGCAAGAGCCCAGGACCCGACGGCTTCACTACCAAATACTTCAAAACATTCACAAACCTGCTTTGCAAACCCTTTGTCACTGCCTTCAATTCACTGGCTTTAGGACACAAACTCCCAGTAGAATCCTTAGAAGCCCACATCACATTGATCCCCAAACCCGGAAAGGACCTAGAGGAGTGTGGGAGCTACCGCCCAATCTCTCTAATAAATTGTGATTTGAAAATCTTCACTAAGATTCTTGCCAACCGGCTGAAACCACTCCTGAATGGACTGATACACCCGGATCAATCAGGGTTTGTACCGAATAGGGAGGCCAAACATAACACTACGAAACTCCTAAGCCTAATACACACAGCCAAAGGAAAAGGACCCCAGAGCCTCATTCTAACTATAGATGCCGAGAAGGCATTTGATAGGGTAGACTGGTCCTTCCTCATGGCCACAATGAAAACTCTGGGCTTCGGCCAACAATGGATACAATGGCTTGCAGCCATATATTCAAAACCGGGAGCACGAGTACGTGTGAACGGCCAATTGTCAGATACCATACAAATAACCAACGGTACAAGGCAAGGCTGTCCCCTCTCCCCACTACTCTTCATCCTCACCATGGAGCCATTCCTACAAGGAATAAGAGACAACCCAAACATATCTGGCATTAAAATAGCAGAGCAGGAATACAAGGTCTCCGCTTTTGCGGACGACCTACTGTTCACCCTTTCTAATCCAAAAACATCCCTACAACACCTTATACAAGAGATAGAGGCATATAATACAGTCTCCAATTACAAAATAAACATGGGCAAGAGCGAAATACTCCCGCTCAACATACCGAATGCCACACAAACAGCGCTCCGCGTAACCTATCCATTCCACTGGCCCACAGAGTCAATTAGATATCTGGGAGTCCAACTCACAACCACACTGTCACGCCTATACGCCCTTAACTACACAACCCTTCTAAACAAAGTAGATACCGAACTCAAATCGTGGAATAAACCACAATTCGGTTGGCTCTGCAGAATCCACATCTTAAAGATGATGATTCTCCTCAAGTTTCTATATATAATGCAAACCCTGCCTATTAAAATACCAAGGCCTTTCTTCTCCCTCTCCAGGCGACTATTCAACAACTTTATATGGTCAGGTAGACCCCCGAGGCTACAATACGAATGCCTCACAAAAAGCAAACAACGAGGAGTACTAGGCCTACCAGATTTGGAAACGTACCACAAAGCCATTATCCTCACGAGGATTTATGAATGGTCATACCCTAAAAACACAGCCCAATGGGTACAGATTGAGGCCAGCTTTCTCACGACACCGATATATGCCATACCCTGGCTCGCTAACAAGACTGACACGAAAACGCGCTCAGGGACCTCTCACCCCACAATCACACACACAGTGAAACTTTGGTCGACCATTAGGAGAGACAAACACCTAGCACCACATCCATCACCACTCTACCCACTAACGGGAAACCCCTCCTTCCCCCCAGGCATGGACCACAGGGCTTTTAGAAATTTCCCCAAACAAGCCCATACACTGACTTTGGGAGATGTCCTGAAAGACCAGGGGGTCACTCCCTTTGAACAACTACTACCCACTGAATCGCAAACGGGAATGACACGACTGAGACACGAGCAACTCAAACATTTTCTGAACACAAACCCACCACTATCACAAGGCCATAGAACCCACACTCTATACGAGACCCAATGCGCACAACACAGCATCCGGAGGGGCCACATATCCTCCTTTTATAAACAATTATGCCGACGAAAGGACGAACTCCTGCCTACCTACACGTCCAAGTGGGAAGCAGAGCTGGGGATACAAATGCAAGCCAAAGAGTGGTATAAAATATTCACCAATGTCTTCCGCACATCCAAAAGCAACAGCACACATGAGAGCAATTACAAACGAATAGCCAGATGGCACTACACACCAACCCGCATCCACAGATTCTTCCCAAACGCACCAAACACATGCTGGAGGTGCAACAGAGCGGAGGGAACCACAAGCCACATCTGGTGGCAATGCCCAATAATAAGTAAATTCTGGGCCCAGATAACGAACGTCATTCGCACTATCACGGGACACAAACTACCCCAAGACCCTAAAGTCTTGTTGTTTTTAATGTACCCCAGCCCCCTACCCAAACACTCACGCACACTGATCAACCACCTTTTAACGGCAGCAAACGCCATCATCCCAACCAAATGGAAGCAAACCGCACCCCCAACGATCAGAGCCTGGATAGAAAGGGTAGACGCTATCAGAGAAATGGAGGAACTAGCGTACTCCTTTTCACTCAAATACCACGACTACACGGCCACTTGGGCACCATGGTTAACTTTCATACGTAAAGGAGACCTCACATCTTACACCAGTTCCCCCCACCTCACGAGCAGAGCTATAGGAGCACAACCTACTCATACAAAGCACCAAAGCGTGATGACAATAGGTCAAGGACTAAGCTATTGTTACGGGTGGAGAACACACCCCCACAAAGGCTATAGAACCACATACCCAAACAGACAAATCTATCACAACGCAACATTCCACACTGACGAGGTTCTACGCCACGATGGTACATACCAGCTTTACCAGGAAAGTTCACCACCCACCCCAATGTTCTGTTATGTTATGTTTTGTTTTCTACTTGTATGTTAATAACACACCACCCATGCAAAGTGAACAACGGCTAAAATCAAACCGCACTCGAGTACTCAGTCCAAGGGTACCGCACACAAACGAATGCTGAAAACGTAACGAGCTCGCACAGTTACTACAACCGTTCTGGACTCTCACGCATGGAAACAATGTATAACATACAAAAGTTCGTTGAAACCAGATTGTATACTGCAAAACAAATGTTGTAATCTTGCATTATTACCCAATAAAAATTTGGAAAAAAAAAAAAAACAGTACACCTCTCTGAACAGTGTCTGGGAGGCTGTGGTTGCTGCTGCACGCAATGTTGATGGTGAACAGATCAAAACACTGACAGAATCCATGGATGGCAGGCTTTTGAGTGTCCTTGCAAAGAAAGGTGGCTATATTGGTCACTGATTTGTTTTTGTTTTGTTTTTGAATGTCAGAAATTTATATTTGTGAATGTTGAGATGTTATATTGGTTTCACTGGTAATAATAAATAATTGAAATGGGTATATATTTGTTTTTTGTTAAGTTGCCTAATAATTATGCACAGTAATAGTCACTTGCACACACAGATATCCCCCTAACATAGCTAAAACTAAAAACAAACTAAAAACTACTTCCAAAAATATTCAGCTTTGATATTAATGAGTTTTTTGGGTTCATTGAGAACATGGTTGTTGTTCAATAATAAAATTAATCCTCAAAAATACAACTTGCCTAATAATTCTGCACTCCCTGTACTATAGGAATTGCTAGCAAATGTATAGATCTCTTTTAAATCAGTAATGAAGAAATAGTCTTTTTTTCCCTCTGCCTCCTGTCAACTATAAGTATAGAGTGTGTTTGGCATACATAATAGGAGAATTTTTTTATAGGTAGTTCTCGTACTTGCTTTTGTTCTATGGTAAAGTGGTGACTGCATGAAGGGACTTTGGGAAAGCTCTGTGTGATAGCAATTCTGATTTACTACATGCTGCTGTTCTGCTAGTGAAGTCAGCATGAAACAATGCATGAGGACATTTGAAATATTATGAGCAAGTCTGCCCTTTGAACTGGACTTGTAATGCACTAGCTGCGGGACCTGTGCTTGAGAGGCTCTGTGTTTTTTGTTTAGGACATAGAGACAAAATCCTTCCCAAGTCTGCTGATAGCTTGTGCAGGCTGTTTGTCTAGCACTCTGCCCTCGTGATGCACTTTGAGTGTTAATCTGTTTGCAGTAATATGCATGTATTTATGAGTGAGCAGCTGTAAGTGGATTAAGGAGCACAGTGAATCAACAAATGCTGTGCATTGGATAAGCAGTCAGTGTCTTATGGTGCAAGGTGAGCCAGAATGTGTTAGAAGCCGTTGAATCGTCTCCTTGCGTTGTGATCTGGCTGTTTGGTTGCACTTAAACTTCCTTCTCACAATGACACCACACATACCAATTTTGGTAAGTCTTATATTGTGTGAATGGAATGAGTAAGTGACACAATCAGCATCATACATTTTTAATATATAAATTCTTACATAATAAAACAATACTGTTTATTTTTATGAGCATTTATATACATGAACATTTCATATTAGTGCTTAAATATACACAAAAGATTACGTATGAGCTTTTTAAAATATTTTACACAAATCCGTCTTTGTACATAAACTAGTGTCTCCATGACTTCAAGTGTCTATATGCTGTTTGCTTGCTAGTGTGTATCCATGTACTATTGTGTCTGTGTGTTGCTAATTTGGTTGCATAAGTAGCTGATCATGTATGTGAGACTAAACATGCAAATGTTTGTGTGGATTATGGGACCCCGCACATTTTTTTTCTCCAAGGTAAAGATGACCCTGGTTATGTGGTTATGGTAAGCAAGTCTGTGCTTCATAAACAGGGGCGTGCAGAAGAGTATGGTGTTGCAGCAAGTATAACATCCACTATAAAAGATAATGTAGGTTTACAGTAGGCTACAGGTTTCAATTAGGTAGGTTCTTTATTTAAAGGCTTGAGGAAATGTGTTTGAAAATTTAAAATGAAATAAACTGGCCACATGCACATTTAATTCTACCAACAATACAATATTAGCATCCACAATGCCCTGGGTAAAATTCTACACACATTTTGAAATGATACACATGAAGCGAAAAAACACCAGTGATCTAATAAAAAGTTTGACCTAAAGTTTTTGAAACTCGTCATTTCTGTAACTCAACTGTCCCACTATAAAAAAGTCCAATTCATATTCACCGCTTATATACATTATTCTCTTTGAAATGTATTTGCAACTCTCTTGTGTCCAGGGTTTATTTCCTTGAGACTTGACTTGAATCACTCCTTTTCAAACACAGCCCACTGAACATTACAGTTTCTAAAACAAGTTTCTGATGCAGGTAGCACGTATTTAATGATCTGTTCATAGATCAACATATACAGGGTTCTTTACTAAAGTGAGAAGTCAAAGTGAATTCAAAGTGAATTTCACATTTAAGGCCAAAGTAGCCAACCTGAAAGCGTAGCTGTCTTAGAGAATGTTTATGTATCTGCTATTTTGATCTTAATTTTGAAATTCACTTTGAATTCTCACTTTAGTGTATAACTCTAATAGAGAGCATTGGTTTCACTCACTCTGATTTACCTAATTATTTTTTCCTGAGTTATTTAGAATTTCAGAATGTTGCTGCCTTTGATCGATTCATACTCTTATTATTTTAAACGTTTGTCTTTTCATGACATCAAAAAGTATGTTTTACTAGACATAAGCACCAAAATTATAGAAGCACAGCAACGTTCTGCCAATTTGTCCAAGCTCCTTCCTCAAAATACAAAAATAAACCCCTCTAATTGAGTGTGAAAAGTCCCATAGAAAAATATGGAAACCCCAAACACGGGTGTACTTGTGACAAACTACACTTTGCCACTGTTTTTTGGAGGGTCCTGCTTGCACGCCTCCTACCCTGGGACTATGGGAACTGTGATAACCTATGTTAAAAAGTACTGTTTCTGCCCCTTGGACTTTTAACTGGAACAGATTCAAACATGTGGCGGCGGCCATCTTAAATTGTCCAGCAGTGTTTTGCCGTTGAGTGTTTGTATGTCAGCCATCAGTTAAAGTCAAATCTTAGGCATGTGGAGTGTGACTAGGAAAATGTGGAAGCTTTATGGGTAGATATCTGCTTGAGGCAAACACTGGGAAATAAATTATTGGTTGGGATATGTTATAAACCACCAAATGTAAATATTAATGCGGAAGAACTGCTGTTAGAGCAAATTGGGAAAGCTGCAAATCGGGGTAACGCGTTAATTATTGAAGATTTTAATCACCCGGACATAAATTGGGATAGAGGGACTAGTACTTCAGCAAGGGGAATCCAGTTTTTGAATGTGTTAAATGACGACACCTTTATGTCACAACTGGTACAAGCACCAACTAGAAAGGATGCTTATCTGGATCTCGTTATAACAAACAATGTTGGTCTTTTAACCAACATTCAAGTTGAGGAGCATTTGGGAAATAGTGATCACAAAATGGTAACTTTTGAAATAAATTCAAAAAAGCAAAAGCACGTGGGGTATATTAAAATATATAATTTTAAAAAAGCCAATTTTAATAAGATTAAGGCAACATATCGACTGGCATAAACTCCTTAGTGATAAAAACACTGAGGAAAAATGGAAACTATTCAAACAAATATTAGAAATGTACATTTCACAGTATGTACCATTGGGTAATAGAGATTAAAAATAAGAAAAGGGCATTTAAAGCATTTAAATCGGACAAATCAGAGGCATCCTATATAAGATATAGGGAAGCCAATAATACTTGCAAAAAGGCAATTAAAGTGGCTAAACTAGAAAATGAGAAACTGATAGCCAAAGAATGCAAAACCAACCCCAAATTTTTTTATCAAGTACATCAATTCCACAGACACCACAGACAACTATTCCTATGAGAGGCTAAATCAGAGGATGTGGGTCTGCTTCACTCTGTTGTCGCACTGTTTCTGGTAATCAACCTTTCTTATTTACATGTACCAATTGTAGGCTGTTTAACCTTTTTAGTGGTCTCAACTAACACTAGACCCTGGCATTCTTCAGATAATAACAGGTGTTCAGATAGACTTTGTGTCTGATTCACTATAGGGAGTCCACTTGACCTCTATAAATGTCTCAACCAGACGACGTAGCATTGCAGTCCGAGCTCTGGAGCCTCAGGGACAAAGGAGCTATCAAACCATCGAGCTCTTCTCCAGAATTCATCAGCAATATATTCCTAGTCAGAAGAAATCTGGGAAATTTTGTGCTGTCATCAAATTAGGAGACCTAAATCTTTCCGTTGTGTATGGACATGTCAAGATGGAGGCCATTCATCATTTATGTGACCTTCTCTGCGAGGGAGATTCATTCTCTTGCTTCAACCTCACTGTTCCAATGGCCCACTCCTATCAGTGTTGCCTACAACTCCTTTGGCATCTCAACCTCTGGCAATTCACCTGCCTCCTTTTCAGTCTCTCATCCGTCCCTTGGTGCTTCACCAAACTGATGAAACCAGTTATGGCTCTTCTGCATTCTCAAAGTGTCAGGTCCATTATATACTTCAACAACAACTTTTTGATTTCTCAGTACATGGAAACTCATGGACGACACATGGAGATGACGACGCACTCCTTCAAAATCTCGGTTTTGTGATCAACGTCGAGAAATTTGCACATGTTCCTTTACAATTTCTGATTTTTCCGATATACGCACTCTATCCTCCAGCTCTTATCCTCAAAAATAAAAACCATCAAGGAGGACACAATCGAAAACTACTATGCTCCCCTCACATCTATTTTTTCAAATTTGCAAGAATCATAGGTCTCCTATCCACTTCCATTCCAGCCATCTTCCCGAGCCCATTGCACTAAAGAGAGACTCAATGCCTCAAAACGTACTATCTGCAAAAATCTATGTCCTATGATCAACAAATGTATCTGACCCAGGAAGTCTGTTTTGGAGTTGGATTGGTGGCTCCACAATATAAAACTATGGAACAGAAAAGCAATAATAGGCTACCAGCAGGATGTCACCCTACAATTAGATGCCAGTCTTTATGGCTGGGGGAACAACCTTTTGGTTTCCGTCAGAACAGGCTTTAAACATATACACAATTGCCTAGAATTAATTGTCAGTTTTTTTGCAGTACACAGCTTTGCCAAGGACACCTACAATTGCTTGTTTGTTCTTTGGATGGACAATGGTTCAGCTTTCCATTTTGTGAATCATTTAGATGGTTCATGTTCCAAACTCTTCCTGAAGAAACTTTACCAGTTTTGCTTAGACAAGAACCTGTTCCTTTGAGTGAAATATCTTCTGAGTCCGAACAACCTTGTGGCAAACTGGTTCTCTCATCACAGACTCAAGGGATTGGCAATTGGATCCACACATTTTCCATCATCTTCATCTCATTCATGGTCTTCTTTACCTAGACCTCTTCTCTTCCCACTTGAAGCACCAGAAGCTTTCTTTGGCTGGATACCAGACCCACCGGCTCATGCACGTGTACCTTCAATCATGGCCAATGTCAGGAGCTTATGCTTTTCCACTTATGATTCTCCTAACTCTACACAAACTCAGAGCTCTTGGTGTTACAATCTACCTTATCACTCCTCTTTAGAGCAACGTATGATATTCTCCAGTAGGCGAATTTCACCCTCTCATTTTTTAGAGTAACCTTCAGCACATGGCTTAGACAGTTTCAGGAGATCTTGGAATGTCTCAGGACTTTTGAGCACTGCTCTAGGACTACAAGGGGATTCATGGGCTCACAGAACATGCAGTTCCTACCTCTCCATTTGGCAGATCTGGAATAGCTGGTATGTGAAAGGGATAGCGATCCCTTTGCAGCATCTTTAATTGGCATCATGGCTTTCTTGTTTCCTTCTTTAACCAAGGTAAATCCTTCAATCTGTTATACTATTTTGTTCCACTACTTCCATGGCTTCTGTCTCTATTGGCAACTTATTAATAGGCAGGTATTCCTTTGTCTGAAAACTCTTAAGAGATATCAGGCTCCTACTCTTCTCTCTTCAAAGTTCTGAGATGTGGCACAAGTTTTTACATTTTTGAAATGTAAACCTTCTTATTCAGATGTTTCTGTATGACAACTTTCAGCTAAACTAGCCTTACTCATTTGTCTGATTTCCTTTTGGTGAGTTTTTACAAGGAATAGTTAAAGGATATTAACATGCATAGCTTGGAGGAAAGACGAGACAGGGAGGATGTGATAGAAACATTTAAATACATAAAGGGAATCAACACAGTAAAGAAAAACTACCACAACAAGAGGATTAAATTAGAGGGGCAAAGGTTTAAAAATAATATCAGGAAGTATTACTTTACTGAGAGGGTAGTAGATGCATGGAATAGCCTTCAAGCTGATGTGGTAGAGGTTAACACAGTGAAGGAGTTTAAGCATGCATGGGATAGGCATAAGACTATCCTAGCTATAAGATAAGGCCAGGGACTAATGAAAATATTTAGAAAACTGGGCAGACTAAATGGGCCGAATGGTTCTTCTCTGCCGTCACATTCTATATTTCTATGTTATTTTTATTAGACCTTTTTGATTTCCATGCTGTAGTTTTTCCACCAGAAAGGGTTTATTTTTCTATCACCCTTTGCACAAAAACCTCTTTCATCTTCTGTGTTCTATCTGTACTTTCCAGACACTGACTGTGGCAGACCTGGTATCAATCCCTGAGGTTGCCAGGACCCATATTTCATTTTCCTGAACAATACCATATACCCCTGTTTGGGAACCAAACAGAACTTGTATGGCCCCCCTCGTTATTGACTTAGAACACCCCTGGCTGTTGACCACAGTTAAAGGATTAACACAAGTGCTTTCCTTGGCTGTCCGCTGTTCGTATAGCCAAACGCATGTGGTCCAGTGCATGGCGGCCATTTTGTCTCACAGGCAGCAGTACTTGCTCGTCGAGAGCATAGAACTAATTTTGGATTCACGTATTCGTGAACCACAGTCAGGATGGTACTGCTGCCTGTATACGTTCATGACCAACTACGTTCAGGAGATAGGAATGACTGACCGGGGGAGCATTCGTTTCCGAAGAGCCCGGGGGGAGCGTTCATCTGTGTTCGTACAGGAACTCCGGAATGTATACCGGCCACTGCCCTGGATTCTATGGAACTCTTTTGGGGCATCACCTCGTGGCCGGCCGGTCAAATCTTTTCCAGAATAGCGATCCTGTTCTGCCAAACCAATCTGAGCGCTTTTCGGATATGTTTTGCACTTAGATACAGGCTATTTGGGGATATAAGAATTGTGGGGTTCCTGTAATGTTTTATTATATTTTCTGGAGTGTTTTATAATATTTTATGTATTTCCTGTAACTGAGAGAATTGAGTTATGAAAATTCCCAGCTCAATTATCTCTCAGACCAAAGAAGCTGTGCATTAAAAGCCGTGTGTGGGCTTATAAAAATCAGTTGACTCCCAGAACTGTGTCGTCCAGTTACTGGGGGAATGGGCTATGATCACTGACCAGCGTTTTCTTCCAGCTCCAGAGGATTCCAACGGAGATCATGTATCTTAGGATTGCAGCTCCGCTACACTGACCCTCTTCTCATGTATCTTTCCTTTTGATTTCCACAAGTTAAAATAGCAAATATGAAGCATCTTGTCTTGCTTTAAAATTAGGGATTATTCTAGCTTTAGTGACCGAATAATCTGAATTTTATTAAAGAAAGGTGGCAAATATTTTCCAACCCTTTCTTTTTTTTTTCCCTCCCTGAATTTAGGTCACTAACTCTCTAACTGATTTTCTTGTCTGGTTAAATTTATATGTTATCATTCATGATTACATTGAATACATGATTGCGTATTCTATATTGGTCTTATGCTATCATATCATGAGTAGTATTCATTTTGACATATTTTGCCATAATTGTGAACTACTTAAAGGTTATTGCATGTCTTTGCATGTTTCTCACCCTTATCAAGAACCATACCATACTCAGAGTATTTTCTCTTCCTTTTTAGTGTGAAGAACTGTCTCCACTATCAAGGCGCTTCTCTTGTTCTTCATAAAGTTTCCTGTTTACATGGTTCTCTACATCGCATCTCGTTTGGACTGTTCCTGTTGATATGGTTGACTACATTGGAGTGGCTGCAATAAATAAAGAGGAAGTGGGAGGAGCCTCACATAATAATGTTACTGATCTAGTATAGTATAGTACATGTACTGAGAGTAGGGTGTAATTTTATTTATCTATGAATCAGTTTGTGTCTACTTGAGTCAGCGTATGTGTCAGTCAGATGGAGCGAATGAGGCAGCACATTTTGTTTTTGTTTTTATGCCCATGGCGGCAAAAATCCTTGCACCGGCCCTGCATGTAATATATGATGAAGCTGCCTTATTTATTCTCTTCAGAGAGTCAGAGAAGCAACAGACAGGCAGTGATATACTTATAATGTGTTTGAATATCCTCTCCTTCTAATGTATTCTCCTTCTACTCACATTGTGCAATAGTAAAAGGTCTGCAGGGACAGGCAGAAGACAAATTAAGCTGTAGTTGTTCTGGTAAAGATATTTTTTAGGTGTTCCTTTAAGGTTGTTTCTTTCCTTCCTCCTTTTCTTTATGTAAATGGAAATGTTATCGGTTTCCAAAATATAAATGAAATGCATTAAAAAGGGACATGCAGATCCTCAAAAGTAACCATACTTTTTAGACCACACAGTTCAGTATAAGTAATTGCACAAAATGAAGCGTGGACATGTAAGTCCCTTATTAAACATCAGAACATTTAACCATGCTTCAAAGTATAGTGTTCATTGATTGTTGACAAGCATAACTTAACCCCTTCAGGACAGAGTCAATAGTACACGTTCTGATCAAAACAAAATGTAAACAAAAACTGGAATTTGCGCTATATGTCTGTTCAACCGTAATTCACCTTTTTCATATTAAGTGCACCCACACTTATTATATATCATTTTGTTCAGGAGAAACTGGGCTTTAATTTCCAATAAACTATTCACATTTGAAACATAATTTATTATGAATAAAATTTAAAAAAACTGTGAGAAATTAAGATTTGTAAAAAATCTTTAGACATTTTAGCTGTAAATGTCATAATACCGTTAGCTTTAACTGCAATAAAAACACATATTTGGATTCAGCAAAGTCTCACAAGTACAACAGTACCCCCCATTAATAGTTTTTACGCAAATATAGCACATTCCATTTTTCAGTTTTATCAAATTGAAATTCGCCAGGTTGGTTAGGTTGCCTTTGAGACCGTGTGGTAACCCAGGAATGAGATCTACCCCCATGATGGCATACCATTTGCAAAAGTAGACAACCCAAGGTATTGCAAGTGGGGTATGTCAAGTCATTTTTAGTAGCCACGTAGTCACAAACACTGACAAAAGTTAGCGTTCATATTTGGTTTTGTGTGAAAAAAAGCAAAACAACTAATATTTGGCCAGTGTTTGTGACTAAGTGGCTACTAAAAATGACTGGACTTACCCCATTTGCAATACCTTGGGTTGTCTACTTTTTCAAATGGTATGCCATCATGGGGGTAATTCTCATTCCTGGGCTACCGTACAGTTTAAGAAAGATATTTCCTCCCTTATATTTATATGGACATTACTCCATTGTGGACATTTTTTTTTAATTTTTTTCTATTTTCTCTAAGCTGTACTACTAGTACTGATATCAGAATCCTTACAAATATCTACAAGCAGGGTATTAAACCATTTTTATTTTTACTGAACACCAGATTTTGTGGAAGTGTGGACATTTTGTAAATATAGCTGAATTCTGACTGGATTGGAAATTATATTTACTAATGTCAAATTTGGTCAAAATTCAGTAAAGCCAATATCATCTGTGTCATTCAAATGGTAGCATTCGGTGTCAGGTTTAAAACCAGTACTTTTTGAATCTAAACTCTAACACCTTATCACATTTTGTGAGACAATGGACATTTTCTAAAGCATTTCACTTCTGAAATATTTTATGCTTTTATTTAATTAATGTTATTTACATATTTTTCATTTATACATTTGTAAGCAAAGCACCATGTACACAACATTGCTGATATGATATGTTTTTATGATGGCAATGCATCTCTTGCTCCAAATACATGCTATGCTGATATTTTCTGAAGCAAAACGTGTTGGGTAGTTACAGGGACACTATAGTCACTAGAACAACTACAGCTTATTGAATTTGTTCTGGTGAGTAGAATCATTACCTTCAGGCTTTTTGCTGTAAACACTCTCTTTTTAGAGAAAATGCAGTATTTACATTACAGCCTAGTGAAAACTTCACTGGCCACTCCTCAAATGGCTGTTAGAGATCCTTCCTGGGTCATGGCTGCCTAAGATGCATCCAAACATTCAGTGGTTTCTCCCTCTGCATGCAGACACTGAACTTTCCTCATAGAGATTAATTGATTCAATTCATCTCTATGAGCAGATGCTGATTGGCCTGTGTTTGAATCATGCTGGCTCTGCCCCTGATCTGCCTCTTTGTCAGTCTCAGCCAATTCTATGGGGCAGCATTGTGATTGGATCAGGCTACCACTTCTGCTGATGTCAGCAGGCAGTGGGCAGGTCTAAAAGAAACTGTGACAAAGCCAGTAGCTTCAGGCTTGAATACAAGTAAGATTTTACTATTTTTAGGAAGGCATGAGTGGACCAGGGTGGCTAGATGGTGGTTTTAACCCTATAGGGTCAAGAATACATGTTTGTGTTCCTGACCCTATAGTTATCCTTTAAGGAGCGAAATTGCACTATATGTGGCATATAGTATATTCAACTTGCTCAGGTCAGCTCTTCCTAAAAATACCAACACACCTTAATAAAGTAATTTTATTCCTTAACCTATAACATAGTTTGTATGTGCATGAATCTGAATCACATGTATAGCACAAGGCAATGTACAATTCATTTTAAAAGTAAAATCAATTTTCATACAGCTATTTTCATGAACCTTTTTAGTATAATTTTTTTTTATTATTATTATTTTGGTATCACTTTATAAGGCTCATTTAAAATTCCCAATCATGCAAGTTGAATTTTTTTTTTTATCTCGTATAATTATGTGAACATTTAACTGCAAATTATTTGGTATTTACAGTGTGTTCTATTTATATCACAGGGCAATTGAACACTTTAATCCAGAATAATTAACTGTATCATTTGCATATGCAGCACATTTGTTTAAATCATTTTTCTTTTCCATCTTTATGCCTTATTATCACCAATGATTTCCTTAGAAATCACAAATACCAGGACTTTTTAAAAGGGCTACTCAGCAAATTTTATTCATATTTCCTGAGTCTTCAGTCCTCAACCCGTTTTGTATTTGGTTTATGTGTATGGTGTTATGGGCATATGCAAATATGAAATTTTTTAGAATTAAAAGGTGTATATCTTAAACTGTGTACTTTGTCTTTAAGAGACTTTGCAAACTGACAAGCTGTTAGAAATGGAACATATTGTTTTTCATATAATGTTTCTTTAAAAAAATGTCCTCTTACCCATATTCAGTGAATATGGTGTTTTTCGGTTTTAGGATGCCATCTTGTCCTAGGCTCGTATTATTCCCCAAGTCAGGGAATTTCCTATGTCACGTGCACCCTTACGTTTTAGTCTAAACATAGATAAGATGTTCCCATGTGAAATGACCAAGTTATGGCCTCGTATGGTTGCCAAGTTAAGGTAGGCCCCAACATGACCTAGTTGAAAATCTAAGGTATAAATATGTGTACTTATTAATGTTAGGATATAGAGGAGAGATTTTGGAGACAGAGACGCTGCCCGATTTTATCATAACTGGGAGGCTGACTTGTTCAAGAGGGTATCATGCCAAACTAATTTTATTGATTTTTTTGATTGGGTAACTAGAATTATAGATCAGGGTGGTGCAGTAGACATTGCTTACCTAGATTTCAGTAAGGCTTTTGACACTGTTGTACATAGAAGGTTTATCAATAAACTGCAATATTTAAGTTTGGATTCCAATATTGTTGAATGGGTAAGGCAGTGGCTGAGTGACAGGCAACAGAGGGTTGTAGTCAATGGAGTATATTCGAAGCTTGGGCTTGTCACCAGTGGGGTACCTCAGGTATTTGTACTTAGATCCATTCTTTTTAATATTTTTATTAGTGATATTGCAGAAGGTCTTGATGGTAAGGTATGTCTTTTTGCTGATGATACTAAGATATGTAACAGGGTTGATGTTCTAGGAGGGATAAGCCAAAGACAAATGATTTAGGTAAACTAGAAAAATGGTCAGAGTTGTGGCAACTGACATTTAATGTGGATAAGTGCAAGATAATGCATCTTGGACGTAAAAACCCAAGGACAGAGTACAGGATATTTGATAGAGTCCTAACCTCAACATCTGAGGAAAGGGATTTAGGGGTGATTATTTCTGATGATTTAAAGGTAGGCAGACAATGTAATAGAGAAGCAGGAAATGCCAGCAGAATGCTTGGTTGTATAGGGAGAGGTATTAGCAGTAGAAAGAGGGAAGTACTCATGCCATTGTACAGAACACTGGTGAGACCTCACTTGGAGTATTGTACGCAGTACTGGAGACCTAATAAAATAGACACCATCCACTACAAATGTCCAATATTAAAAATGTGATTAAAATGATACAAATGGAAAAATGTAGCAAAATGTTGCAAATACTGTATCATAGATACAAGTAACACAGCACATTATGGATCGCACATACACAAACCTCTAGGGCAGCGTTTCCCTTGGTGTTCCATGGGACCCTAGGGTTGCACAAGAACAGAATTGGGGTTCTGCTGTGTTTTGCTCATCGGGTGGGCCTTAGGTCAGTGCTGCGGCCGATTAATTGTGTCAGTGTTTGTGTCACTGTGTGTATCTATGTGTGTGTATATGCCATTGTGTATCTATGTGTAGGTGTCACTGTGTTTACCTGTGTCAGTGTGTATCTAGTCTATGTACCAGTGTGTGTATCTGAGTGTCACTGTGTGTATTCTTCAGTGTGTGTATGTGCCAGTGTGTGTGTATGTAGCATTGTGTATGTGCCTGTGATGCGTATATTTCAGTGTATCTGTGTGTCAGTGTGTGTGTGTGAGTTTGTGCCAGTGTGTATATGTGTGCCACTATGGGCCAGTGTGTGTGTGTGCCAGTGTGTATCTGTGTTTCAGATTCATACACACTGACACACAGATACACACACTGGCACGTACAAACACAGATACACACACACACACACAGATACACACTGTTTTTCAAGGTGTGTATATCTGTGTGTCAGTGTGTGTATCAGATTCATACACACTGACACACAGATACACACACTGGCACATATAAACACAGACACACACACTTTGACACACAGATACACACACACACACAGATACACATGGTGTGTGTATTGGTGTGCCAGTGTGTGTATCTGTGTGTCAGATTCATACACACTCACACACAGATATACACACCTTGACACACAGATATATAGATACTTACATACATACACACACACAGATACACACTGTGTGTCAAGGTGTGTATATCTGTGTGTCAGTGTGTGTATCAGATTCATACACACTGACACACAGATACACACACTGGCACATATAAACACAGACACACACACTTTGACACACAGATACACACACACACACAGATACACATGGTGTGTGTATTGGTGTGCCAGTGTGTGTATCTGTGTGTCAGATTCATACACACTCACAGATATACACACCGGCACATACTAACACAGATACACACACTTTGACACACAGATAGATACACACAAAGATACACATTGTGTGTCAAGGTGTGTGTATCTGTGTGTCAAGGTGTGTGTATCTGTGTTCCACTATGTGCCAGTGTGTGTATCTTTGTGTCAGATAGATACACACACACACACACACATTTATACACATATTGGCACATACAAAGACATACACACACCTTAACACACAGACACACACCGGCACATACAAAAAAAGGTTTATGCAACGGCACAATTTTTTTATTTATTTTTTTATGGGGTGGGGGCGGAGGTGCTCCACGATGTTAATATACTATGGCAAAGGGTTCCATGGGAAAAATTGATTGGGAACGCCTGCTCTAGGGCTTCCAAATAATTAAGTAGTCCAATAAAAAAGAAAATATGTTAGTTCAACTAATTCTATAATTCCAGAAAACAAGGGACCAGGGAAAAATGAATAAAATAAATACATAAATCAAAACACCTTACTCAACTGGCAAAGGAAACCCGCCTTCCGTGGCTCGAAAAGATAAATAGATTAAACATGCAAAAGGAATATCTAATGCAACTTCCAGAAGTTGGTGAAGAAGAGAAAAAGAAATTGTTCACTATTATATGCTGTGCTTTCACTAAAGCTGTTTTAGTAACTACATGGTTTCAATTGTTGTGCTTACACTAGAGCTGTTTTAGTAACAACAGTGTGCAATGGTGAGGTTCTTAGCGATTGTTAGATCCGGGTGATGCTTCCTGTAGCCTTTCCTGACCTATACACGGTGTTTCAAATTGTCTCTGAATGTTACCAAATGTAACGAACGCAGTAAGCAATGTAACAGCTTTTATAAATAAATCAAGGGACTCCTGCTTGTAAGGAAACCAAGTACATTTAAACCTTAATCGGCAGTTTCCTCCCGAACAGCCAGAGCCCAGTGGATATAGCCCTCCGTTCGGTAGTAATAGTAGACAAATTCCCAATTGTAAATCCAATAGTGTTCCTGGATAATTCCCACAGTAAAACACACGAACTCCCAAACAGCATACGTAG